AGAAAAAGAAAAAGAAAAAGAAAAAGAAAAAGAAAAAGAAAAAGAAAAAGAAAAAGAAAAAGAAAAAGAAAAAGAAAAAGAAAAAGAAAAAGAAAGTGGCTTGATACCATGGGAATGCACGGGAATTCCTGGCACTTGGGGAAACAGCAAGCCTAGGTGAGCAGGGCTTGGGGACACCACGGCCAGGTTCACTGGACAAGGATAGTGGGGATTTGGCTTTAAATCCCTCCTTTACTGCAAGACTGTTGCAATTAGCCCAATCATTTCTTGCAAGGACAACTGGGGATCCAACAGCGATGGGCTCACCTGAGCCTGTGCTTCCCGGAGCTGGCGAGGAGGACAGCAGCTGGTGGTCCATGGAGGGCCTGGTAGCATCCAGTGAGATGCTGTTGTCCTGTGTCCATAGGGAGGAGGCTTGGGGATGGGTCGCGGGGCTGGATGTTCCTGGTTGGAAGTCCCAAGAATGGTTTTCTGCTGCCTGGTCACTGCCTGGTTGCTGGCTGCCCCCAGCAGCTGCAATGGGGCGAAATGAAGCGTTAATGGGAAAGCTTTGAAGTGGCAGCGTTTACTCCTGCTGATACCCGGACATCAGGYATGGACTCGATAAGCAGCCTGAGGAAGGCAGGAGCGGGGTCACTGTGCCCCAAACCCCGACACCCCTCCAGCTTGCCAGGGGCTGCTGCCCCAGCTCTGCAGACCTGCAGAGAACCACGTGGAGAGCAAGACCACGGTCTGTGCCCACCACCCCCAGCAGCTGCCTGCATCTACAGCAGGCCAAAAAACTAAAAGGCTCTTTTCATATTTCTTCTGTTTTTAAGAAAACCCCTTTTAAAGGCAGTTTAAAGCTGCAGGCCAGGCAAGCTCACCTCCGAAAGCGGCTCCCGAGGCAGGAGATGCCGTCAGCACGGGGCTGGTGGGCTCCTCCGCGGAGCGCCCAGACCCTGGCGCACAACTGCTCCCAGTGTGGGCACTGGGAGTGCTGGGYGAGGACTGGGGCTGCCCTGGTGAGCTGGGTGTCCCCGAGGACGACAGGGAGCTGCTGGGCAGGGGCGTCGAGGTCCCCATGCTGCTCCTCAAGGACATGGAGGCAGCTCCAGGACCATCCGGCTGCTCCCACGCCGTGGAGATGCTCACAGAGGGAGAGCGGTCACCACCAGCTGCAAGGCAACGGGGGAAAGCACATGAAAATACACTGGAAAATACTGGCATTTCAGTATGCGCACTCCTTTCTGCACAAGGAAATCCAGACGTTTCTGTAGAAGCACRAGGAGGCACGAGGCACTACGTGGTTTACACCAGGTCAGCCAGGCCTGGCAGGACGGGCATGCAATGAGGACCTGATAGCTCCAGGGGCAAGCCCCCAAAATGAGTGAGGGGGGGAGAAGAAAAGAACTAATTAAAAATATATGAAGATAACATTGACATTCACATCCTAGTGCAATGCTTATTTCACATAGGGATATTAAAAAAAAATGAACAGTACGATCTGCTCTGACTGGTACCACCACTGCAGGAATCTGTCTTTGATGTAGCAAGCTTTTATAAAACACCTTCGTTTCTGCATGGCCAGAGTCCTGCTGGATCTGGAGAAGGTCATGAACAAGCACCAAGGCAGGCGTTTTTATGCACTGCAGTTTTTTTGGTGTGTCTCAGCTGCAAATTGTGACTTGGGCGCTCTGCTGTTTTTCACTTGGGCACTACTACACCCGGCAAATTTCCYGGTGGGGAGCGGCGAGGTGGGACTATCACACAAATCCACATCAAACATCAACTTCTCCTTCTCACCTGCTGGCCGCTTTCGATGTCTGCAGGGGAAAAAAAGGGGGAAGGAAAAAAAAAAAAAAGATCAAAATTTGGATAGTTTTGACTGCACAGGCTGTGTTGGTGATGGTGACAAACTCTGAGCTCTGATCTCGTTGCCCATAAGCAAAACAAGGATAAGAAATGTATTTTGGGATACACACCAGTGTGAATTGGATGGGTCTGTGGTGCCAAATTCTGAAGGCAGAGACACCAGASCAAAAGAGAGAAAATTGTGGTGTGGGTGAAACCAGCCTCAGTCTTCTGAGTACTGAAGGGCACCTGGGTGCTGAAGGTCACTCCAGAGTAATGGACATTTTGGAGCATCCAGGCCTTAATGCTCATCAGACCAGGACAAAATGGATAGCGAAGAAGCTTTTACATCTTCAGGTCTGTTCCCTGCAACCACCATGGCCAGGAGCCCCTAGTCATGCTCCAGCCTATAAGCACTTGGGTCTTCTGCTCCAAGCCGCTCCAAACATCCAGAATTGTTTTCCCATTTCCTTGGGAAATGTGTTAACACATTTATCGAACAAATATTTGCTCCCAGGACAACGTTGTCATTTTGTTTAAACAGTTCTCCCTTCGCAGTTCATACTCCCCACCTGGCCTGATGTAGTAAGAAGAGCAGCCCCATTCCTCTTCGCCCAAGTTGGATCTTCACTTCTCTTTCATGACCAAGCCTCCCTAGCACATTGATGCTGAATCTACCACCTGCTCCACTTCCTAGACCCCAAAACCGACCCTAAAGAAGTCAACCGGTACTGAAAGATCTTCAGAAACACATAGATGGTCACCTGCACCTTTAAAATCTACGTGCATTTCCAAACCAGTCTCTAAGCAAGGGCTGGCGATGATATTCCGTAGTGAGTCCTTGGCTCGGGTGATGCTGACCGCTGGCAGCAGCAGCGCTGAGCTCTAGCTGCAGCTTGAGCCTCATGTGCCATGCAGCCCGGCATCATTTTGAGCACAGCATTTAACGACAGCCGCTTTGTGAGCCGTTTAAGTGAGATTTATTGCTGGAATGAGGGGTTTCCAGCTCGCTGTTCCGGCCAATGCTCCGGGTTTGCCATCCACGGTGCTCACGTGCGGAACAGCAGCAAGCGGGGTTGATTCATTCACAGACCTGAGGCTTGGCTGGCATTGCGGAGCCAGATGTTCTCCAGCTGACATCAAGGCTGAGCAAGGCCAAATCATGGCTGTGACATCTGAAACTGCAAGCTAAGACCCACGTTCCTTGTGAACACGAAGCAGTTTCTGGGATGTTGTAGTCCAAAGCATGTTTCCTTGGCTGGGGGGCAGGACGGGAACCTTTCTGTGGGAACATCCATTTAGGAAGACAGGGTCTAAAGCCTCTCAGTAAACTGCRAGATGTCTCATATGGAGGGGAACTCTGAGTGGCAGCTTAGAGACCCACCAAGCTGCAGGAGGGGTCCTGGCCTCCCTGCTCCRCTCCCAGGCATTTGGGCACAGGGTGCCCCAAGAGGAGGGTCAGATGAGATGAACACGGCTGCTATTGGCACCACGTAGCTCTGCCCCAGAGACCTGCTTCACCAGCCAGGCCACTGCTCCACTTCAGGACTCGTCTATCCTGCCTCTGTCTAYAGGAGTTTCGCTGAGAACTCACTAAAAGAAGAGAAATGAAGAGATTTATGTAGCCCAACCTGCATTTCATTCCAGGACACGAAGCACCAGGAAACACAGCCCSCGTGGTGCCTTTAAAGACAGACGTAGTGCTCAGCACCCCAAGCATCCTGCAGCCTTCGTGAGCTCGCCCTGTGTAACAAGCCCCTGCTGCCCTTTGGACAGGGGCTGTCGCACTGCAGGGCTGCTCCCTAAGCTAAGTCCATTTGCAAGTCAATGCAAGGCTGTAATTGCAGCCCACAAGGCCATTTATAGCAGCAGTGACGCCGGAAAACTCGGGCAGGCTGGAGGGTGGTGCACGGGGTGGCTCTTTGCTCCATAAGAGCTTGCAGATGTGCGACCCGATTTGCTGTGCACGGCCCCGGCCTCGCGGTGCAAGGGAGGCAGCAGCGGGCGCTGACAGCCCCTGCACACCACGGCCGGGAGCACCCGGGAAAACCTCTAAAAAACGGCTTGAGGAAAACAACAGCAAGGAGGACCTGAATCGACCGCCCTCGACCAAACACAGCCGCTTGGGAAGTGAAGGGCTGCTGGTTGTTGTTAGCCCAGCAAATTCCCCCCGGGCTCTGGCAGCAGAGGACTCATTGATATTTTCCTGTCTGCAGCCTGTAACCACTAGCAAGCCCACTGCACATGTTAGAGGATTTCCAGCCTCCCTCAGCATTGCCCCCAGCAAGGCCAGGGTCTGACCTGCCCTGAGGACACAGCTGGGGCTGCGAAAGGCAGAGGATACCCGGAGAACCCGGCGCGCATCCCAGAGCACCGTTCGACTCGTTTTCTCCAGCCGTGTCTGCCTCTGCAGAGCTCCTGGGAATACAAAGCAGCAAAACACTTAGCGCTTATCATGGGAGTCAGCAAAGCTGGCTCCGAGTGCGGCCGGGGAGCAGATGTGCTGAATCAGAAGGTGTTTTTCACACGTGCTTTTAAAAGCATCCTGGCACTTCTAGCTATGCCCTGCAAGGCGGCTGGTCCCTGCCAAGGGGTGAAAGCCACGGGGCCAGCACGTGGTTACAGGTAGAGCTCACCCCGCAGCGCTGGAAAACGTGGCCTGGGGTGCAATGAGGAAACCCAAAAGCATTGGTTAAACGACTGCACCGTCCCAAACAGAGCAGATGTGAAACCTCAGCGGCTCGCTCTGCCGTCAAGGCTAACGGAGATGCAAGACAACCGCGACCTCCGTTTTTGCCGACATGCCTGCAGAAATTAGCCTTCAAAGATGACCCTYGGATGGCAGCAGATGGAGCAGATGCAAACGTCTTCCAAAAAAATAAACAAGGGACCATCTGGCCTCCTCTGATGTATTAAAGGCTTAAGCCATTGCAACCCTTTAGCTCAGGTGCAGATTTGTCTCTAACAATTTTGTGGCATCCTAAGCCACCAACTGTTCTACATGTTTTAGCTCTGCACGAGCGCAGCTGTCAGGAGAAATATTTTAATTCCAATGCCAGACTGTCACATGCCCCCCCAAGGAATTGGTGCTTTCCCGGCAAAGCCAGAAGTGATGCTGAGCACAGGGATCTGAGGATGTATCCCTGCAGGTACATCGAGAATGCTGCGTCTTGGGAGTCACGTTAGGACATGTTTAGGGGATAAAATGGATCAACTTTCCAGCAGATTTTGCAGGCTGGGGGTTTGCCCAACATGTCTCTGTCATTGCCCATGAAACCCCTACCCTGCACCCCTTGGCACCGTTCCCAGCGCGGGACAGTCCCTGGGGCAGCGTGGCACTGATGCGACGGAGGAAGCCGAAACGCGGCGGCATTCCCGGCATCCCGCACCCAGCCCGAGCAGGCTCCACGGGAGGAAACGCAGCCCTAATCGCACAGCCACATCTGCTCCGTTGCATAACCCTAACATCATCGCGGGCTCGCGGAGCACGGGGATAACAAGGAAAAACGAAGCTCTAAACTCGGAGAGCTCCTGGCTGCCTGCGGGAAAGGGCTAAGGAGCGGACGGGGGCTGGCGCGGGCGCCCCGGGGCCGCGCCGTGTTTTG